CGGCTGACAAAGAGAATTTGTTTAAAAATCATGAGCTTCTTCAGTTGGTGATCATTTTCTTTATTCTCCTGACCTTTAAAGTGCCTATGACATAAATTTTTTTTTTCAGTTTTTCTTAGCTTGGTGTAAATAAAAAAACGATTGTAACCTTCAATCCGGCAGAAACGTTTTCAAGCCTGAATTTTTGCACTCTTAAAAGTACTATTTTGTAGTGAAAATTGTCTCGGGGTCTGGGACCTAGTTCAATCCTTGCGACGGCCTTTGTGTTGTAATTTTGTGTACACAAAACACCAAGTTGCGGAACGTGTGGAGGTGAGAGGCGAGTCATTCATTCATTTGAGCGAGTGTCACTCTGCTGATTCTATAGATTATAGAATCCCTCTTTTTGCCGCACTGTCATCCATGTTGGTTTCAATGGCTGTACACAACTTGACGTCATGAAAGAAAATCACCTGACGTTTTAGCCGCACGCAAGAGGGGACAATTTCGTTTGCAGATAGCACGTGTTTTGAACTAAAAAAGAAGGGTTTGACGACATTTCTGCCCGGATTAAAGGTTAAAATCGTTTTTTATATCCATAAAACTAACAAAAACCAAGAAAAAAAAATTCATGTCATAGGCACTTTAAGTTTGATTCATGAGTGGCATTGTAAGGAGAATTAGATCCTAGCCATTGTATACTGTCTAGTAGACAGTGATGAATTGACCTGTCTATGTCTAAGGAACAGGTATATTACAAAAGGTCATCAATCTTACCCTGTGTATTAACAGCTGGCTCAAAGATGTCAGTGTTTACTTGAGACTTGTCCTCTGTGTGAACAGTCCACACTTCCACTCCTTTGGCCATACCAGCAGCCATTGCTGCTCCCAGGGAAGTGGTTTCTGGCATTGTTGGACGCACTGCAAAACAAAAAAAAGTTAAATAGCCCCTTTTCAATTAAAGCCAATTAAAACTGTCACAAATATTTTCAACCTCCTGTAAGTGACTACATTAAATGTGCTGGCCACAGTCCACTTTGTTTTGTCAGAG